AAAAAAAGAAAAAGGAATGAATGTTATAAAACCCCTTAGAGCTCTCATGTAGGCATGCCACGTGTCCTTCCGATGCTAAGAGAGCGGTGAACAAAATGGACATCCAGACCAACACGTAAGCACACCAAATAGCTGATGAGCAACATCGATCGCCCTCAACTGAGGGGATTAACTGGCCACTGCTCACCATTCGATTTCCAAGGGGTCTTTACATCCGTCGATGTAGCGGGTGAGAGAGGTTGTGCTCATCAAGGGCCTGCGGATGTTCTCCCAATGTAGGGGGGGAATGTTCATCTGGCGTCCTTGGGTCAGTAGCCCCATGAGGATTGTGTCTGTGATAACCTTGAGTCTCGCCCCTGCCCTTCCTGTCTCTGGAGAGGCGTTTCGGGCCCTTCGCGTTATTGCTGTGAGGTTCTGAGTCTTTCTCTTGTAACAGTTCGACCGAGTCTTGGAGAGTGACAGTCACATCTCCCATTTGAATCTCAGTCCGCGATGGGGGCGATGGCGCCTCTTGCAGTTGGGCTTCCGGGATGTCCACGCTGGGAACATTAAAGTATTTCCGTGGAACAGCGGTTTGCGGGATCTGCCGGTGAGACTGTGGTGGTCCATATACGTCGTTTCTCAGGGTTGGGTCCAGGGTTATCAGGATCGGGTCCAGCGTTCGCAGGGTCGGATCCAGCGTTCGCAGGGTCGGGTCTCAGGGTCGGGTCCAGTGTTCGCAGGGTCGGGTCCAGGGTTATCGACCGGTTTCCTCCTGCTGGCAGTCCGATCGTGAGTCCCATCTCCGTGGCCTGAGATGAAGGGAGATGGGGTAAGGCTTCTGAAGGGATTATTGCCGTGAGTGTGTCTGTGTCTGGTGGACCCATTTGCGGACCTGCTTGGTCCATAGGGATGAGGCCCAGCGGGTCGTCGGTTGCCATCTCCGCTCCTTCCACAGACGCAGGTTCTATCGCTTGCAGGGTCAGTCCCCCGGCCCCAGCCTCTACCTCCTCCTTCTGCCCTGCCATCCTCATATTCATCGCCTACCCGAGGGATATCTGCTGGGGGAGGTGGGGGGGGGGGGTGTAGCTCGTGCTCTTCTGCAGGGGGCAGGGGAGGAGGGCGGGGCTCTACTGAGCCCTTCCCCGTGTTGAGCACAGGCTTGGTTTATTTTTCCCTGCCAGTGCTCCATCTGCCTCCTTTGTGGTGGTGTTCCCAGGTTCTTGCCTCCCAGGTTGATCGGCAGTCTATTTCGGTATCTACAGCATGATGGTTCTGCTGGGGCTTCTCCGCCAAGGCTGTCCGACAGTCCTTTCCACCTTCAACTGTGTGACGGTCTAGCTGGGGCCTCCCGGTGTGTGTTTGCTGATGAGAGTGTTCCTGTTGTTTAGGCACAGACTGCCGCAGGTCCTTCGGTCGTGGTGAGGATCGCCATTGGTCTGTCTGTGTGTCAGTCGCTCGCTGTTGTTGGTCTGTCATTCTGCCTGGGCAGGGATGTGCGTGTTCCTGCTGCTGTTGATTACCTTGTTGTTTTGGAGCCGGCTGCTGTAGCTGTTGTGCCTGTTGTTGTGAGGGGGGGTGTTCCTGAGCACTCAGCTGTTGTTTCGGTTGCTGCTGGGCTGCCTGTGCGGGCTGCTGCTATGCATGCTGTGTGTCTTGTGCCTGCGGCTGGGTACTCTGTGCCGGGTGCTGTGTTGCAACCTGCATCTCCTGCGCCGTCTCCTGTGCTATCTGCTTTTGGTGGCTCTGCTGGGTGGGCACTTGTTTCTGAGGTCGCTGCTCGGGGGAAGAGCTCTGCTGCTCACCGTGTTGCTGGTCCTGCTGCAAGTAGGGTGTGGGGGAGGGCGATGATGGTTGCTCTGCTCCGTCGTCTGGGTTGGAGAGTGCGCGTGGGTGCTGCTATCCAGGGGCCAGCTGCAGTGATTGTTCTGTCTGTTACTATTGTGGTGGTGGGGGAGGCGGAGGTTGCTAGGCGGAGGTTGCTGAGCGCTTTGCTGGTGCTGCAGCCACTTGTGATGCTCGGCAGCCTGATCCGCTGGGTGTAAACTCACAGTTTGTCGGGAGAGCTGTCCCTGCTGGGGGGGGTTCTCTGTGCTGAGGTCGCGGCGTTTGTGTTTGCTCTCGCTGGCCTCCGATTGGAGGGCCCTGGCGGGGAGGGGGAGGGTCGGGGTGGTTTGGGCCTGGGCGACGGCGTGATCGACCCCGTCTCCCCCTGGGGTAGCTATCCCGCACCGTTGCTCTGTTTGGTAACAAGGGAGATGGGCGTCCCTCCCCCTCCCATCTCCATTCTCCCCGGAGAGTGATGGATTTCCTGTAGAAGACCCATCCTTCATAGGTGAGATCTTCCGGAACCCACCTTCCCGGGCCGTCCGGATGTGGCTGCACCAGCCCTTGTGTGTGTGCGTTCTGCTGGTGTGGGCATTGTGAGTCTGTACACAGGTGTCCCCTGGTCTTACATGCATTGCACCAGGGGTCTTGGGAGTGGCTGACCTGGACTGCGTAGTTTCAGTCGCCATGTGAGAAGGACCATTGGCCACTGATTGGGTACCCCCTCCGGTTCTCGGAGAGGGGAAGGAGCGGGGGTACGGCGTTTTCTAAACGCCGCACCCCTCGGCCCTGTCCACCTACGGGGCCGGGGTACGGCGTTTCGAGAACGCCGTACCCCCGCTCCTTTCGTCTCCCGGCAACCGGGGGGGAACCCTTTATTGCGATCCAAGTCAACTGCCACCAATAGAGAATCGTCACGTTTGGGAATAGCCTGCGCCAGGTCATTTATGTATCCCAGAACCTGTGCTATTTGTTGCAGGTCCACCAGGATCGCACCTTGGAGCCATAGGATGAGTGTGGTTGGGTACACCGTGCCTCGGGATCTCCGTACTCGGTCAGGGTGAAGTGCTCATCTTGGGGCTTCACTTCCACCCCAGCCGGCTTACTTAACTTGATGACAAGGTCTTTTTTGCGTGCTGAGCTGAGAGTTGTGTGTTCGAGTCCTGTATTCGGCATACACATGCTATGGGCCTGATTAGCAGTCCCTCCTACATCAGGTCCAACGGCCATGTTCAAATGCAAGGAAAATGAGGGATAGTGAAATGACAGAAATCCAGAATGCAAAATCACATTGAAAGCCAGGAAGTCCGACACTGTCCAGAAAGCAGAATTGCACCGATATGACACCACTGAAGAACCAAAACACTGAATCCAAATGTCAATGAGAGCATACTCTCGCCACCACCGACATATATGTATCCAGAGCCCTTCCTCCTACTTGGCGCTCAGCGCCCGGACTACGATCACACAGCTACTCGCTGCCTACGAATTGGCAATGTATCCTGTTGGCGTCAGCAGCGACAGCCGAAGTTATGAAGATGCCGACCCTGTAGACCATCGCCAAGACCAGGTACGCGCCTTCAGATCCTCATCCTCATCTCTCTCTCTCTCTCTCTCTCTCTCTCTCTCTCTCTCACCCTCGACTTCTACACCCACGTCTTCTCCCTCATTCACGAAGACCTCCACCACCTCCACTGGCTATGTCCAAACCGAGCCCGACTACGGCTGGCTATGGCGCTGCCCTCAGCAGCACCCTACCTATTGCACGACCGCACGTGCACACACACTTGCCCCTAGTGCTAATGCAGCAGCCCGTGAGTGCTAGCTCAAACAGTGCTGCCGAATCTGCACGCAAGTGTCCCCACTGACTTGCCTGGCGCCCGACACTTGCCTATTACGTAAGTGTTGGGTGCACAGTTCGCACTTTCCTGTCGGGGCCGGGTTCCCACTAGCTTCAGTCTCGGCCAAAGTGTCTGCGCCCAGGCCCGTTCAGACAGTGGCCTGCGGCCGAATTGGTTGGGCATGCCCAACCACCCAGGCACAAACGTGCGGTGTTCCCTGTTTCGACGACGTTGCTGGAAGAGCCTGGAAGGCTCACAAATATTTCCGATTCTCACGAGCAAAGCGGATGTAACCAACTGGCATGTGGCAACTGTCTGGCGCCCACCAAGATTTGCAAAAATTGATAAAAAGTTAAAAACTCAGCGCACATTGAGATTCAGGGGGCCCGCCTTCACTTAGGCCGCGCACGTGCCTGCTGCAGGGACAACCAAAGAAAAAAAAAAAAAAAAAAAAAAGGACTGGAGCTCTGAACCGAGTCAAAAAAAAAACTTCTTACTGTGAATTACTTCCATGACGAGAAGCTGGTTCGTTTGATTATAATACCGGACGGCATCGGATCTTTTTCTTTTTCTTGATTTTCTTTTCTTGAAAAAGGATATCCTCTCTCTGCAAAATAAAAGAAGTGAAAAAAAAAAAAAAAAGTGTGCCAAGGACTGCCAAGGAGAACCTCTGAAAAAAACTGTATTGCCATCATTTTTTCTTTCTTTCTTTCTTTTTTTTATTTTTTTTATTTTTTTTATTAACTGTACTGCCATCATTCTGCCAACTTTCATTCAAAACATGGATGACAGCTAAAGTGCTGCTCCTGCATCGGCTGTCAAATGCCACGCAGCAGCAGTTGCGTTCCCACCTCAAGTGGCGTACAGTTCTTTCACCTTTTATTAAAAAAAAAAAAAAAAAAAAAAAAAAAA